AACATTCAACAAAAAAACCTATAAAACAAAACAACGAAAAATTAAATGAATGCCAACGTGCAAAATGATATATATCACTACTGAACCACGAACATCCATCACCAACCTGTGAACAAAAGGATAAAAACATGAGTATTTTATTAATGCATTAACTTCAACAATAATATACAAATATAGTTAAAATTAATTAGAAAATTGTTGTGAAACTATTGTTTTATCAAGCTATTGTATACAAAGGTTGTAATGCTAGGATTGTAATACAAAGTTTATATAATTTTATATTGTTGACACATGTTAGGATTGGTTAAATAAAGTAAATCAATTTAATGAGGTGTCAAATTTACCTCTATTTCAACCGAGAGAAGTTTCATCCTCCTTTACACCTGATGCATCCTCCCCGACATTGTTGCTTGGAACTAACCCCGAAATGTTTGCTAGATCTATCCCATTTTTTGCTACCAACATTTGAATTATAGTTTGCATTGTACTCATGTTTTGAGCCTAGTCAAGTAACTACTTTCCTTGGTCAGCTAATTGTTGTTGTTGGTCAACTAATTGCTGTTGAAGAACAATCACGTCGGAGTTAGGAGCCTCAAAATGTGTAGAAGATGAAGTACTGTCCTTGCGGATCCCGTGTCCCTTCAAGTAGATCGAACTCTTCCCAAGTACTTCCCTGGAAATCTGCTCCTCAGACAATGGATGTGTGACACTAGGTTGAGATTGCTTAGCGATCTTTGAAACCAAGTGGCCTATGAATGAAACATAAATAAGCTTAAAACATAATATCAAAATGCAAACATTTATTATTGAAATTGAAATAGTTTTGGTTACATGATGTTCCTCAGCCGTGTTATTTATCCACACTCCCCCATGTCGGTGACGCTTGTGGGTGTCCTCGAATAGTTTCGTAATAGTCGGTTTGCTTCCTTGTACCTTTCATTTCATTAGATTTTCTAGTCAATCAATAATTATGTATTTATAATTTAGTATGTTCAAATTTGTAAATCTACACTTACAAGGATAGATGCTCGCGATGCAAATGATCTCGAGCCGCTCGTATGATTATACTTCACACAACCTCTCGCATTCTCTGACTTTTCCTACAAATAAAAACAAAAATAGGTAACATTAATTAATATACAGGAGAATGTTACTTTAGTAAATATTTTTATAAATACCTTCCAATCATCAGTTTTCCACAGATTGTCAATTATCCATTCCCAATCATCCTTTGTACAAGGATATAATGTCTGACTTTTGAGGTCAGATACTTTGTTTTCTTTAAGGGATTTGTAGTGTGTATGTAATCTACTTTTCCATTCATTGTACAAAGTTTGGCACTTATGATCAATAATACATCTCACATCCACATCATTATTGTAGTCCCCAAATTCAAAAGTTTACTGCAATTGGAAGCAATAAAATTCAATATATTTTATATATCATTGCGATTAACATAAATAACATGTTAAATATCTAACACATACATTTCAAATTACCCTAACTCTTGTAACAATGGACTCTCTTAACCCAAAGGCAATTTCTAGCCATCCATCATTTCGGACTGGGGCATGAACTCGAATTTGTTGACCAAGAGCAGCTGCTAGAGGTATGGCGTAATCCCCTTTTATTACTTTGGTCAAATGGTTAAGTGTAACGGGTATTCGATCACTACGTTCCTTTCTAATCTTCTCCATATTCTTTCCTCGGGTCGGTCCTTGTACACGTTTCTTGCCCAAAACTGGAATTGATGCTATTATGACCAAAATTTTATTCAATTTAGTCGACATAAAACATGAATGCACTAAATAAATATTGAGATAAGAAATTATCATTTCATTTAAGTGGTCATTTATTTCTCACCTCCACTGTTAGTCATAGTACATGGACTTGAAAGGTGGTCAGGTTGAGTGGCGAAGGTAGGGAGCTGATCGGGCCTAGTATATAAGGCGAGAAGATGGATAGGTTGGGTCAAGACCTTAGGTGTGCTCTCTGAATGATTAACTTGTGCAGCTACATGTCGTCTCAGAAAAGTAAGTGGCGAAGGTAGGGAGCTGATCGGGCCTAGTATATAAGGCGAGAAGATGGATAGGTTGGGTCAAGACCTTAGGTGTGCTCTCTGAATGATTAACTTGTGCAGCTACATGTCGTCTCGGAAAAGTAAGTGTATCTTCATCAACAGTACTTCTCTTTTCCCTATGTGTTTGTGAAGCTATTAGGCGAGCTGCACACCTATTTGTTTTCTTACTGGGACCCATATGAATATCCTGACATAATATAAAAATGAAATGTTAGTACATTTTCAATAATTTAAGGTTGCTTAATAAAAAATAAATTTGAAAGAACTAGACATACCACAAGTAATATAACAAATGAAAAAAATAGAGAAATTACTTTTTATATACACATCTATTACCTTAATCACTTGAGAATCAAAAGGCTCGCCATTATCACTTGAAGAACTCAGTCCTTCATCATCATCAAGTGGTTGATAGTCCTCGTCATTATCAGTTTCGCCCTCCTTTCTCTTTCCCACCTTACCACTTTCACTATTGTCCTTTTCAATAGAACCAAACATTGAATTCTTGAAGGACTTTATCCCTAGAGCATCAAATATGATTTTATTTTTTTGAATTGTTTTTTTTCTATCCTTCTCATATTTCATCATCTTCTGGACCAAGCCGCCGGGCTTCATAAGTGATTTATTGTTTTTGGACATCTTTGTAACTGTAGATATGGCATATAATTAAATGAAATGAAATAAGAAACAATACTATGAAATTTGAAAAACAATGCCATGCAATGAAAACCAAGCAATTTATTATTAAATTATAACACCTGTCCATATAATAAAAAAGCAAACACTACATATTAGAATCTATATCAAGATCTATATCAGGATCTGCATCAACATCAGGTTGTCTATGCAGTTCATCATCTTCATCATCATTATACTCTATGATTGTATCATCCTCATCATCATTGTGAACTAAATTCTCTGCCATTAGTTGATCATTGAACATGATCTCAGGATCCATATCATCCTTGTTGTATTGAACATCATTATCTTGGATCACTACCCCAACACCATCAGTGGTTTCATCTTGTTGAAAAGCATCATTAGAGACATCATCCCGCTCTGGTATATCCCATACTCCCCAATGCTTAACACGTTCAACGACTCTCCGATTTTTGCCTTTGTTGGTATCATTGACGTAGAATACTTGCCTTACCTGACTAGGTAGAACAAATTGGTCATCTTTATACCAAAGTCTTGTAACATCAATACTTATGACATGTTCATCGGAGTATATTCTATTCTTGTGACCGGTGTTATACCATTCACATTGGAACAAAACCACTGTAGCCCCATGCAAGTATTCAATTCCCATATTTTGCACAAGTATCCGTAAAAATTAATTTGGTTCCCATTATGGTCCCCTTCTACGACCAACCCACTATTTTGGCAGGTACGACGATTTTCACGGTTTCTAGTATGGAATCGAATTCCATTGTAGATGCACCCAGAATAAAACTCAATTACCGATCCAGGACCATTTGCTAATGACCATAATTCGTCAGTTGCTTCAGGTGATCCTTTCGTTCGCAAATCATTCATCTACATAAAACACCATATATCAAGTGTACTAAGTTAATGTGAATTGAAAGTTACAACAATTGTATTCAATTATTTTCTTTAGTATATCTTACACGATTGTTGAACCATTTTGAAAATTCTTCTCGTTGTACCCGAGTTATGTCACGTCCTTGTAGATTATGTAAAATATTCTTCTGCTCCCTACCCAAGGAAATGTGATACACGTAATTAACTTAGAAAGTTCGAAATAAAATGAAACGATTATGCATAAACGTAATTAAATTTAAATACATACTCAATATATGGCTCCACCTCAGAGCTATTGTACAATACAAACCAGTGAGCCATTTCTCGTTCATTCTGCGAAGGGTCAAGAGCCCTTGTGATAGGTGAGAATAGATGAGCATTTTGGGTGAAGACCTCCATTCCGGGACCATGTTCACCACCATCATCATTTCGTTCAGGTTTATCAATCCCTTTTAAGTACATTGAACAAAAAGTAAGACACTCTTTGACAATGTAAGCCTCAGTGATAGAACCTTCTGGACGTGCTCTATTACTGACATTCCCTTTCAAAGTCCCAAGAAACCTTCAACAAAAATTGACAATGAAAATCATGTTTCTTGATGCAAGAAAATTACTTCTTAAACAATAGTTTTTTATGGGTGGATTTTTGCACAATAGTTTAGTTATAACAAATTAATATATAACCCTATGTTCATAATGATTACCTTTCGATTGGGTACATCCATCGATATTGCACCAGTCCAGCAAACATGGCCTCACGCGGCAAGTGAACAGCCAAATGGACCATCACATCAAAGAAAGCTAGAGGAAAAATTTTCTCCAACTTGCAAAGTATGAGCACAATTTGTTCCTCTATTTTTTCCAAATCAGTCTGCCTTAATGTTTTTGAGCACAGTTCTTGGAAGAAGTTGCCCAACTCAAATAGTGTTGTACAGATCTCCTTGTTCACAAAACCACGCATGCCAATTGGTAGGAGTCGCTGATGCAGGACATGACAATCATGGCTTTTCATGCCCGATAATCTTCCATTTTTAGAAGTCACACATCTTGAGATGTTTGTTGCATAGCCATCTGGATAACTAATAGACTTCAAGAATTCACAAAAACCATCTATTTGTCGAGAATCCAATGTGTAGGCTGCTCGAGGCTTTACAACGGATCTGTTATCTTTCCTCTGTAGATGCAATTCTTGCCTTATGCCCATTTCTTTCAAATCATCAAGTGCTTTGTACGTATCCTTGTTTTTCCCATCTATGGCCAACATCATCCCGTAAAAGTTTTCACAAATGTTCTTCTCAATGAGCATGACATTAAGATTGTGTCGGAGCTATAGCTTCTTCCAATACGGTAGCTCCCACATTATGCTTTTCTTTGTCTAATTCAATTCTTCAGACTCTCGTGGTCTTTTCTTGTTGGTAGGATCTTTTCCAGACTTGACTTCCCGCAGTTGATCCAATTGAGCCATTACTTTTTCCACCGATAAATCTAAGGATTTCTTCCTAAGCTCAGTTAAACCATCAAACTTCTTGTCCTTCCTCTGACGGTGGTTATCAGGCAAGTATGCTCGATGACCCACCCACCCGATCTTACTGATCAACCCACATGATAACGAATTATCATTACAAGGAGGGCAAGCCAAACAACCTTTTGTTCTCTATCCGGATAAGTCACCATATTTGGGGAAGTCATTTATGGTCCACATTACAGCTGCATGCATCCGGAAGGTCTGTTCAGTGGAGGCATCGTAAGTCATCACGCCATTCTCCCATAACTCCTTCAACTCATCAATCAATGGCCTTAGGTAGACATCAATATCAGTCCCTAGTTGATTACGTCCAGCAATAAGTAAGGACATCATGAAAAATGGGGCCTTCATACATCTCCAAGGTGGGAGGTTATAGGGCATGAGTATGACAGGCCACATGCTATAGGAAGTGCTCATGTTCCCAAAAGGGTTGAACCCATCGGTGGCTAGGCCCAACCTAACATTGCGAGTCTCCTGGGCAAACTCTGGATAATGCAAATCAAATTCCTTCCACTCTTTACAATCAGCCGGATGCCTCCCTACACCATCATCCACACGCTTATCACTATGCCATCTCATGTCTTTTGCCGTCTTCCTAGACATGTACAATCTTCTCAACCTAGGTGTCAATGGGAAGTAACGCAATATCTTGTGAGGGATCTTCTTACCCTTGCTATCATTTACTCTGTACCTAGATGCTTGACATGTGGGACATTTTTCCAAGTGAGCATTCTCCTTCCAGAATAGTACACAATCATGTTTACATGCATCGATGAGCTCGTACCCCAAGCCCAAGTCACGTAGCAACTTCTTGCACTCGTAAATTGACCCTGGCACCACGTGGCCTTCTGGTAAGAATCGCCTTTGTATCTCCAAAACCTTGTCAAAAGACTTATTACTCCACCTATTTTCTACCTTCACATGTAGCATCTGAATAACGAATGATAACAAAGTATCTAAGTTTTTGCAACCTGGGTACAAGCAACATTGGGAAGCATCGAACAATTTATCGAAGTTTCATACATCCTCTCTTTCTAGAGTATCACCCTCCATAAAATTCCCCCTCTGATAGTCCTCTATCAGTTCATCATATTCATCTTCATCCTCATCATTCTCACCATTGCTTTCATCAAGGTTATTGTGTTCTGGAAGTTCACCGTGTTCTAACCAAGTGGTGTATGATACTATCATCCCACTTATGAGCAAATGAGCCTTCACACTATCATACTCCTGCTTATAAAAGTTACAACAATTGATGCATGGGCACTTAATCTCTCTAGCCTCACCCAAATGAGCCTTTGCAAATTCAATAAATGAGTTCACCCCATCTACATATGGCTGACTGAATCTATCAGAAATTAACATCCAACTCCTGTCCATGTCTGATCATAAGATAGTAGTTAATATCAACAGGACACAACCTTTTATTTTTTATTTTTTATTTTTAATTTATTTATTTATTTATTTATTCTTTAAACATGAAGACAAAGTAGTTAATATAAGTGTAGAGTGACACATCATCGTCAATAAAGGTGCATCTACCTATAGGCTTTTTTAATTTTGTATCAAGGTTTCGACCAACAAATCCTTTAAAGTTCTATTATATTGCATATATTATGTATTAAGTTAAGTGTTTTTTACATTTATCAACAAAAAAACAAGAAAATATATATTTTTTTAATGTCTATTAAATGGTAAAAGGCAGTTGGCATGGCAATGTACCATTCCAATTCATTCCAATATCTTTCTTAAAGGACATTACCTAATGGGCTCCTACAAATTAAGGGCATAGGGAAGGACTAAGGGTGGCTACAGGCCTAACCTCTGTAATATTTGTGGGAAGGGACTACATTTATAATTCCAACCCATATTTTCATACACGGGAACTCAAGCATTTACCACTACACCAATCAATACCCCCTCTTTGATGAAACTTCTATGTTTATCTAAAAGGGATTTTCAGCTCTCCTAAAAAGCCCTACCACAAATTACATCCAGCCACTGCCTCCAAATTTTCTATTAATGAACCAATTGAAAAGTCGGGAACCAAAGTGACACAAACCTCAAACTATAGGGAGCGTTAGTATAATTCGCCCAAGATAAAAAGATCAAAAATAAAAAGTGCACTTTTGTAGTACACCCAAACACTCTCTTAGCTTAAAAAACCATCTAAAACCCAACTTAAAAAACTAAACTATTTAAACTTTTTTTGAGCTGAAAAGGAAAATAAGCTGAAAACAAAATAAGTGGAACCAAACACCCTACAATTTTAGGTACAACTACTAACGCATGTGTTTTCAAAATTTAAACTAACAAGTATTCAACTCGGAATTGAAATACAATGCAGTTAGTATGATGTGCCGAGCCCGGTGCATGCAAGACAGATGAATGAATGCAAATATGCGAGCATAAGTATTTTAATTAAAACATGCCCTAATCTAACCATCATAAGCTGATAAATAAAAGGGAGAAAGACGTGGGGTTGGAAAACATACATCACACACACGCACACTTATTACAACATTGCCCCCCCTTGAGGGGTTCGAATAAATAATACAGTCCGAATAAATAACAGTTACAGCTAATTATTACACAACATTAACTAATTAACAAACTAGCTAAGTAAACATGTAAACTACATGAATGTGACTCCCCCGGCTCTGTTTTGGGTGATGATGGATGCATGCATGCTCGAGTCGCCTCGTCGGGAAATTACATCGCGATGCCTCGTCTCACCTTTGTTTGCAACTGATTTTAGAAATTTACACAAGGCTCCAAGAGGCTGAAACTCCACCCTGGGAAGGCTGCCGACCAGATATTGGCTTGGGAGACACCTGCCGACCACCCATTATGGTGGGAACCAAAAAAGGTGGTCGGCCTGCCAGAAAACCTGGTTAGCCGACCACTTTCTGTCCCTGGATTCTGGTTTTTCTGCAACAAAGGCAAGAGAGAGAGAAGGCAATGTATTTTCAGTAAATGTGTGCACGACCACTCTCCCCGTCATTGCATGAGCTCTAGGGAGTGTAGTCCTTGATCCTCGGGCCACCAATCACGCATCCCGATGCATGATGGCCGAGAAGTTGAATTGCACTACTTAGTATGGAATGAATGTACATATAAGCAAGTAAAGCCAACAACTCTATCATCGACAGTTAGGATTGTCGGTGACCGAGAATCGAGGCACGTTTCGTCACTTGGAGTACAAAACGTCCCTCCTTTCCTGTGTTTGGACTAAACCCTACTCCAAACACAATGCAACAAATAAGGATGACATGACATGCACAAATGCAACTAGCATGCAATCCTAATGCAATGCGACCTAATCATGCAAACATGTAAGGATGAGATGCAAACATGCTACTAGCATACACAATGCTATGAACCATATGGCATACACAATGCGACTAACAACCTAGCATACGCAATGCAAGGAAATGAGATGGCATACACAATGCCTAAAACAACGTAACATGCACAACACATTGTAACATGGCATACACAATGCACGATGGACTTATACCAAAATGGACAGGCCTCAGCCGTGCCCAAATCAGTGGCCATGGGATGAAAATGAGACAACCGAAATACATGCAAGCATGCACGAATGCAATGGACCGATCCTAAAGCACAACATGCAACTCTAACTAAGCATGGCAAAGGATGAAATATGGCATACAAGCACACATGACATAGCTTTGAAATGGCATAAAAGATGATCCCGAAACATGCGAATATGTCACACAATGCATGCTAGATGGCCCGGGTATCGAAACTAGTGAAACGGGTTACACTAGAGGTACACAAAGCAATGCACCAATGGCAAAACCAACCCCAAACAGACCCTAGGCAGGTCTGAAATAGTGGGGAAATGGCCTAAAATGATGGCTCGGAATGCAAAGAAATGGAGCTCATTCAATGGTCCGAAAACAAGGCATTCATGCACAACTCTCAAGCACACTTAAATAGGAGAAAACATGTGGATATGGCATTCACATAGGCTCTGAAATATGATGCAAAATAACCCCAAAGCATGAAAACACCTTAGTATATGCATGCAATAGACCTCAAATCTCAAAGCTAGGCATGGACATTGAACTACAAGTATGCAAAACAAGCATCATTCGACCATGAGACCCAAAAATAGAGCTAGGGCAGTCCAAAATATGCACAATATCAGTTTAAGGCATGGCCAAAAAGTGCTAAAATCAAGGGTCAACAAAGCATGCAAAGAAAGCTAGTGAACCATGAGTTGTACTACAACTATATGAAGCATATGAGAGTTCACCAAACCAGCCAAAAATAGAAGTATGCCATGCCAAAATATGCCCAAAAATCCACTGAAACTCAGTCAATACATGCAAGAATGATAGGCTCCTTTGGAAGGCCATGTAAGGGGTTATTCTACACATGTATGATGGACACACAAAATGGAAAAACCACCTCTGGAAAAAGGTTATGAGGGTCCTAAAACCCACTAAAAAGGTCCTGAAATTAGTCTAGGAAGCATGCAAGTGAAAGCCCTTGAATAGGATTGCTCTACACATGCATAATAAACAATTAATATGGCAAAATGGGCTCCGGACAGAGCCTATGTAGACCTTAAAACTCACCAAATAGGGCCTAAAATATGGCTTTGAAACATGCAAGTAGGAGCCCCTTTGGAAGGCCAACAAAGCTAGTAAACAAATCAAGGGGTGAGAGGGTCACTCATCTCTGATTTTAGGGCTCAAAAACACATGTTAGCCACTGAAAATTCGCTGGATTTCAGTGGCCAAAGGCCAAACCAAGGCCAACACAAATGCTCTAATGCATAGCCCTAAACATGAGGAAATGAAGCATGCAAAGGGGAAGATGACCCCAAACAGAAAAAATGTCTTAAACAAACATGTTTATAAGCTCAAAAAAAAACTTTTTTTAGTTTATGAAAAAACCCAGAAATGCTTGCAAATAAGGCTAAAGAATGAAGCAAAATAAAGCTACAAAGAGGGAAATGGTGACTTACCCTTGTGGCACAGCAATGCAGCAAGCTCTGGACCAAGAAAGTGAGCCCTCAACATCTGAAAAATAGCTCCAAAGTACTTATGATGGTAGTGGAGGTGTTGTGCTTGGAGGTGTAGTGCAAATGGCTAAGAACCATGGAGCTATGGAGCTTGGATGTTGAGATATAGAGGGAGAGTATATGTATGCCTCAGCCAAAAATGTTCAATCCTTGCAAATGGAGAGGAGAGCCTCTCTTATAGAAGAAGTTGTCCAAGACTTCTTGGAGAAGCCTCAAGCAAAGGGACCAAGCTTTTAAAAGAAGCTAAACCAAAAGGGTCAAGTTTCTTGAGGAAGCTAAGCAAAAAGGGCCAAAGCTTCCTTAAAAAGACAAACAAAAGGGTTAAATCTCGGAGGATGGGGCAAATGCCTCCCAGCTGGCACAGCTGTATGCAACTCAGGAAGGCCAAAAAAGAGATGGCTGGCCGACCAGTTCAAGTGGTCGGCCGACCACTTCCCCTGGTCGGCCGACCAGGGGTCAAAAGGGTCAACAAGAAAAGGTGTCGGCCATGCCAAAAAGGTGGTCTCCCAGGTGAATGCAACACAGTGGTGGTATGGGAGACCAGAAAATGTGGCTCAAAAGTGAGGAAGACCAAGGGGTCAAAAGGGTCAAGCACCAAAGGTGGTCGGCCATACCAAATAGGTGGCCTCCCAGATGAATGCAACACAATGGTGGTATGGGAGACCAGAAATTATGGCCCAAAAGTGAGGGAGACCACTTTTCTAACAAGAAAATCGGGTGATGAAAAGAAAAGTGGTCTCCAAGAAGAAAAGGTGGTCTCCCACCATACTACCACCTTCCTAACAATGAAACTAGGGTCCATGCCAAAAATGAACCCTAACCGATGCAAAACGAGGGTTCGGGGGCCAAAACGCGCAGTTGGGGGCCTCGAAAACTGACTATTAAGCATCGAAAGTGGCGTGTGACCACGAATGTGGTCTCCCGGGTCACAGTGTCCCTCTAGAGAGAGGAAACAAGGTGTGTGCCAAAGACCGGAGCAAACGGAGAAAGTTAAGCGGTCCCGAACCGAGGCGCATGGTTGACGGCTCCGAAAATTAGAAACTGATCTGCAAACGGGAATAGTGGCCTACGACCACGAAACGTAGCCTACGGCCACTGAGAGATGGTCTACGAGACCTCTCCCTCCCCTCGGGAAGAAAGAAAACAGAGAAAACAGGACCTGGTTCGCAAACCGAGGCATAGCACAAAAGAGCTCCGAAGCCCGAAGACAAGGCTCTCAACCGAGACTTTGCAACCTCAGAACGAGCACAATATGCAACATCACCGAGCGCTCAGTTGGTGACATCTGAGTCTTAAGGTTGGTCAAAAATGAGGTGTCTAC